ATGCGCTACCGGTCGAAAAGAAGGCTTACCATGGTTTTTCGCCTCCCACCGACCTTTGGAGATTTCCTTCCAGTTTCGCTCCGAATATGGCCGCTGGGCCACTATCTTGTTTACCCAGCCGGCCAGATCCTTGACGGCAGCTGGGGTTTGGGTCACCGCTGCACAAGAAAAGGGGGTTTTCAGGAAGAAGTTAAGGAAAACACGCTTTAAAAGATGAACAGTGAGAAAATACTTACGTTTGAGGTTCCACCTCTCCGGAAATGGCATGCAATCGGCCGGAATCAGGTCGGACGTCCTGATCCGGACAAACCTGCTCATCCAGCCTCGATCTTTGTCTTCATCGATGCTGGAGAATGGGGGTTTGCTAGCCCGGCGGGCCAGTTTTATTAATCCCCCTCGAAATATTCGGGGACTGTATAGTCGAAGAAGATGGTCGAGGGTAAAGGGGAAATCACCCTCGACTCTCTCAACAAAAAACCGAAAGAGATATACGATCCGCCACATCGAGGGGTGGATCTGACCTAAGGTCACCTCGTACCGCCGGCAGAACTCCACTATGATGGGTTCTAAGGGGCCTAAGGTGAAGGGATATGTATATACGCTAAGATATCCCTCGACGTGAGTCATAATCGACTCGTCACGGGAAGGGGCGACCAGGTCTTTCCCTTCCCATCTACATTCAGCCCTCACCCGGTCTAGGCAACCGGGAGTGATTAGACTAATGTACTCCGATGCCGGTTCGCCGCGGCCCGGGACCGATGATGGGTTTTCAACCTGGAAGTCGGCAGATACCGAGCAACCAGTCGGTGTGAATGCTTTCAATGGGGGTTCTGGTGCATGTTCATCAGATCTAGCGGGGCTCGCGGCCGAGCTTGGTCTAGAAGGAACACTTTGTGAAGTTTTCGCCATTTCTTAAAGCTTTACGAAGAGACGAAAAGAAAATACAACCAATGCAGAATTTGAGAAAGATAGGAAATGTTGAACCTGGAAGGGTCGTTTATACTTTTTCCATGAGGCGGTGGCACGAATCGCGAAGCCACAAACACGAAGCGACAGATAATTAAGAGAAGCATTAAATGCCTGCAGCAGGCGTGGTCAGAGCACTCGATGGCTTTTTCACCTGGCGTATGGCCATACGTCACGGGCATCACGTCACCGGTCATATCGTTTATTATCATTACTCTCTAATAAACGAGGGGACTATCTGTATTGGGTGATACCCTTTTTTTTTGCTTGAGCCCGACCGGGTTGGATCCGGTCCGGAGCAAGTCGGGGCCATCGAACCCGACCTGGATGCAAGGTAGAACGACGGCCACGTCTACAACCGAGGTCGAGTCATTTCGAGACCGTTACAGAGCTCGAAAGGAATCACCACCGGATGGAGAAACACACAAGGTCGGAAGCCGGGCTCGTAACGGATAACCAAGCGTCGCCGGATATCTCGCCCAAACGTGATTTTCTCAACCACTTCAGGCCATTAAGGCGTAATTACAGGGATCCACGATGTAATCAATTTACCTACCTTATTTTTACCCTTAATCAGAATGTATAAATGGGTATCTCTCTAAATTCTTGTGGATCATCAAGCACAATTGTTCTAAGCAATATTATATTCTGCGATTATTTACTTTAACAGCAATTGTTGAGTCTTTATCTTTATTTTCCTTAACCTAAAAACCTTTTGTATCTTTTAGTTCACGGATCCTTAAAACCCCATATAAATTCAATTGTTATCCGGATTCGAGGGTAAACAACAATGATATATAACTATACAATATTTCTCATATATTGAATATTTATATGATATACCCCAGCTTGTTAAGGATTTGCTTAGGTGAATTTATTGAATATTTATCTGAACATATTATTAATTTGATTAGTTTTATTATTGTGTGGCGGCTGAAGATATGGTATTGTACGGACACTGGGGGAATAATGGATACGTAGATGGTGGGAGTAAAAAATCTCAGATTATTAAGCCATTTATTACGCGCGATGTGCCAAATAATATCACACCTATGATATGCCAAGAACGAGAATTTTCGAATTAACTATACATTTTAGAATAGGGAATTTACCATATTACTAGTATATATTTTATATATATGTTGTACAATGTGTAATCCAAAATCAAGTGGTAGATTATGGAATATTTTACAAATCGTTAAGTAACTATGGAAATTCCTATATGAGCCCAAACGGGTAAGATCCCAAAATATGGGCCTATTTTGGTTATAGGGTTGGGTCGGGTGGCATACTCTTTCTAATTAGGCAATCGACCCCTTCCTTTTTTTCCCCTCTTTTACCCTAGACCGGACGCTTCGTCATCTCTCTTTTGTTGCTGAGGATCGATATTTTGTTTAAGCCCTAAATCTCCGCTTTTGTCATCGAAAATTCTCCCAGTTGCTTTGTATTTCGTTTCGTCCAGCTAATTGAAGCTCAACAGCAGCTTCTTCGTGCACAGTGGCCGCTTCTTCAGGGGTATCGCAGGACTTTTTCTCGGGCGAGTGACGTCATTATTCGTCTCCGGTCTCCCTTCCTTTGACTAGACGCTTTGTCATCAAACATTTTTCCCTGTTGTTGCTTTGCATCCATGTTTTTTAAATCACAGTTTTGCAATTGTGTGTGTATATATATATTGGTGCTTTTTTCCCTTTTTTTATTTTGAAAGTAAATTTGGTACCTTTTTCCACGTGTCTGTCATCTAATTGTATGACATATATCTATGTGATATTGCAATCCCATCACTCAACATTTGTTTCCAATATTTGTTTTTTGCAGTTGTTAACTTGAATCAGGTTATTGATCAACATTTCCTTTTCCTCTTATTTATCCCCTTTCTAGATTGACAGCAAAATACTAGTCAATACGAATATGACTCTGTATCTATGTGCAGAGCGAGATGGTTGATGTTCTTCCCCTGTGTGCCTCTCCCCACCCCTGCGTTGAACCTCCCCGTGCCTCTCGCTTTTGCAGCATTGTGAGTGTTTCCTATAAGAAGTGCAGGCACTTTTTGAGGGCCGTGGTTTCAATCTTGAAGATGATTAGGTTACCCGGTTTATGTACTTGTAGTCAACCAGTCGGTAAGTCTTTTGAGTTACGGTGCTTTTCTAGCTCGGTTGGCTGATCAATGCCACAATTTCTTTTCTTATACTGTTTGGAGACATGAGGAGTTTCTCCTTTTTAAACTTTGAAGTTGTGACTTTTTGTGAAAATTTGCTCTTTCCAATTGTGCTTGTTCATAGATTTTGTATTTTAGTAACTTTCTTTGAGATGCTCAATATGTTTTTCTCGTGTTTCTTTCAGATGTAGTGGGTGATGACTGGATTTGGTTTCTTCTTGGTTTTATTCCTTTATGGTGTATATGGCTTGTCTTTCCAATTTGTGTGAAGGGTGCCAGTGATATCACCTTTATCAGTTACTATATTGTTAGCACTACTGCTTATCTGATTCCATGGTACTCTGTTATGTATTGGCATCGCGAGATGTCGCCTTTCCGGTTAATTGGTGCTAAGGCGATATTTATGATCGAGGTCATTCCTATGATAATTGCAGCAGCCTTGCATCACCTTTTGGAGTACAATGTTGGTTATTTCGTTATACTACTAGGCTGCACCACATGTGTCTATATCTTTGCCCACTTCATGCACGCAGCGTATGATATTGGAGACTCTGACTTTTTGCTGGGATTAGCAATGCTTGTTCTTGTTAACTGGCTGAATGAAGAAATGCTAGTTGGTGTTTTGGAGCTTCTGCCTTTGTTTAAGTTTCTACAGATACATGACTTATTGTGCTCCTGAATTACCTATTCATCCTAAAAAGGAGCTGGAGGAAGAGCTGCCTTGTTGATCTGAAGGGGACATTTCTCTTTGATAGACATGTATTTGTTCTAGCTTTATCTTGTGTCCTTATTGTTGAACATAATTGTATATCAATGGATATTAGGAAAAACATTTAGAAACTATTTCAATGGCCAGCTATTTTATTCATAGGAGACTCAAAGTAAGCTCTAATATGATTATGTTCCCATTGCTTATAAGCGGTAGCTGGTAAAGTTGCCTCCATGTGATCAGGAGGTCATGGGTTTAAGCCGTGAAAATAGCCTCTTGTAGAAATGCAGGGTAAGACTGTATACAATAGATCAAAAGACTGTATACAATAGATCCTTGCGGTCCGACCCTTCCCCGGATCCCGCGCATAGCGTGTGTTTAGTCCATCGGGTTGCCCTTTTGCTTATAAGTAGACACTAGTAGTGGTGGCAAAATTAATATAAAAACAGTTATCCACCTATATTATCCACTAAAAAATTGGTTGCATAATGAACTTTTGAAAAATGGGTCAAATATGGATAAGATTCATATTATTATCCACTTAAAAATAGATATTTAATGATAATCAATTGGTTTAACTTTTACATTTGCAAATACTCAAATTGGGGAATTCCTCACAGAATTTGAGAGATTAGAAATGCTCTCAAAAGTGATCATACTCAAGAAGCCATGGATAATATGATTATTCATATTATCTACCGGTTAATCCATTTTGACCCATCCATATCCGACCCAACCCGTCAATGAGCCACCCCCAGGTAGTAGGAAAGTAGATATGGGAGTAGTACATGTCTGATCTACCTGATTAGGGTGGCCTTTGCCAGCAGTACAAAAAACCATTAATAGTATTTTGGTTTCAAATGTTTGTATATGTGTGCACGAAAAACATGTCCAAGTTGTCCTAACCTACTCCTGTTGGAGAAATATTTCTCAATGGGATGGATAGTAGATAAATAAATTACAAAACAGCTGAATTATATAGTATTAAGTTGTCTTACGAATTATGCAATGCACATGAATGACTTTGGCAGGACTATTGTACTATTGTCTTTTTCCCTATATCTATTACTTTGCCAAATCTGTAACCCATAGCTATACACATGCAAGGGAAAAAAAATCATAATAAATCTTACACTTGGATTTTAGTACAAAAACGAGCACATTCAATTTCCTATATTGAGTGTAGTCGTGTCCTTTAGTAATAAGCAGGAATGGGACCGAATATTTATTCCCCTCTCTCTTGTTTACCAGTTTCAATGCAAAAGAGAGAAAGGAGGATGAACATCATTTATGGTATGCAGATATATAATATATTACATATTTGGTCACAAAGTATATTATAAGCAGGTCTACACATATATTATAACAACAATCACCTAGTATAATTTTATAAATTGTTATGGGGAAAGTAGTGTATATACAAACCTTACCCCTACCCTAAGAAGGGAGGGGTCTATACTACATATTTGGTCAGAAGGTATATTCAAGCTACCTAAAGACATAACTACAAGTATAAGATTGTCAAAAGTAAAACCAATGACATGAAAAATAAGATATATTATCTGTTAAAACAAGTTAAAATAAATGGAAACATAAATATTATTAAAATATAAGTTAAATTCGTATAATAAATGCTAGCTGGTAGGGCGGATATAGAGGTTTGATTATCAATTCACGCATCCAGTAATTTTTGCACATACGTAGTATACTTTTATATATATATATATATATATATATATATATATATAATGTTTTGTTTTGATTATTGTAAATATTTGATTGTGAAGTCAATTATTATTATAGTATTAACTCGATGTCTTTGCTGTAATTCATAAACTTCAAATTTCGAATTCGTCTATACTAGCTGGGGATAGTATGACTTTAGTACCAAATTTAGCAAAATCTATGGAAGGAAGACATGATACAGCATGCTCGCAGAGGCGAAGCCAGAATTCAAGCTTATGGATTCGGGAATCTAATCGTTTTAAGTTATCGGGTTTCAAATTTGATATATCTAATGAATTTTTTAAGACAAATACAAAATAAGAATCAAAGCTATTGGGTTCGATCAAATCGCTCCTCTCACTCTAGCTCCGCCCCTGCATGCTGGTAAAGATACAATGTCATAGCAGCTATATAATGCAGCTAATATATGGATGATGTGTCTTCTCCTGAATAATATAATATAATTATTTCTCAATTTGGTCAGTGGTATCGTGCGTGCCATGATAAACCAACGCTCTAGAAAACGTTATGAAACTAGAGACGTATACCTACTAGCTAGTAGTACTAATTTTACAAATAATAACAAATCCCCCACCTTTCTGCTCTCCCCCAACGGCCTCCTATCTCATTATTCCCAAGAAAAAATATTTATCATTATATTATAAAATAAAAACTGTAAAGTAAATAAACTAAACATAAGTATAGAGAAAGATTGATATATTATTTTAACTTCAGATAGATGTACAGAATAAACTGTCTTGGCTCTTTATTTATAAAAGAAATAAAGTTGATGCGAGGCTTTCGGGAAGCCGCTGCAAGATTTTTTTGAAGCTGCTTTCAAGCTGTCTGCATGAATTACTTCGAGTATAAAACTTTTCCCTTTATGATTAAAATGATGGACGTAATGTACTAACCACTCGGATTATGCTCATTTATTTATTTTGTAGTACAAAAACTAACCTAAATAATTATTCACTTACAACAACAACAATAACCTAATAAAATCCCACAAGGAGTATGGGGAGGGTAGTATGTACGCAGACCTTACCCCTACCCCGAAGGCGTAGCGAAGCTGTTTTCGAAATACCCTCGGCTCAAGATAATAAGAAAAACAAAAGGAGAGAATATTAGTTTCACCATAGAGATCATAGGAAAAATAGGAACATAAATTGCAGAAGAAAAATACAAGGCAGAAATGATGGCTAGTAAATAGATCTTGCACCGAAAGAGAAAGTATTAAGACATGGCAATGCCCTAGTTATTTAGACTAAAACCTTCACTTAATTACTTAAATTAAAAATAGTTTACGGGTGTATGATAAATTATGCAATATACATGTGTAACCATACATAATTAATATAATTTACATATATCAACTAGGAAAATTATACAGTAAATCTGGGAAGCTCATTCTGTAAAGATCAGATTATGACTAATATAACAGTCATAGATATGAAGAATATTAGTCAACTTGACACTTATAGTCTTCGCATAATATTTTTGGAAAGATATTGATCATGCTTAACTATGCCTTATAAAAAGGACAATGCGGGCGTTGCAAATATAACCCGAGTATTACGCCCAGGGTCGAATCCACAGAGAGTTAACCTATCAATCACTATCTTTAGACCCACTAAACTCTTCAGAACCAGTTTCTCAGATGTTTGAATTACAATTGAAGGTCGCTTTACTAACTACGATTGCAAGTAAATTAAACAGTTGTAAATTAAAATGCTAAGGTTGTAAACAATGATGAGAAGAAGCTAAGGCAATGATTTCCCCTATTGAAAGAATCCCTTCTGTTTATGCTCATACAAATTTGCCAACACATCTCTATCAATCATGAACGCTCATCTTACCGTAAATCTCTCCCGAGTAATCACAGTAATATACTAATTGCACTCTCCCGAGATACACTAGCTTACTTTATTTCGCACACTTCATTTTAAATTACACTCAAGGCTTCGTTATCCCTAATCCCGCCTTTAAACCCGCAATTATAGATTCCTCTTATACTTTGGGAGTGGTGTTGTTCAACAATAACCTAAATATGCACTCTTTTCCAAGTTATGCACACTAAATAGGCACAGCTAATTGAGGATCCTGTCAATTAACTACAACAAGCACAAAGTTGAACAAATAGAGATTGAAACTAGCAATTTGTATTCACATAAACAAGATGTTCATCCCCCAATAGGTTCCATCAAAGCCTTAGACAAAGGATTTAGCTACTCATGGCTATGGGAAAACAAACTAAGATAGAATTCATCATAACTAGCAATAAAAATCAAAGAAAAGAAGAACTATGTTTTTGTGTATTCTCTCACAATAGTTTTTCTTGCCAAGTTACTCTAAAATTCAATACATGTCTCTCTTGGGCGAAGTCCCGTATTTAAAATAGGGTTTAGGTCTAAAAATCCCGTGTTTTACACTTTAGTCCCTCAAGTTTTCTGCTTCCGCCGCGGTTCTGCCGCGGTCGCGGTCAAACCGCGGCCAAATGCTTTCTCTGAATCTCATTTTATCTGCAGCTCTCTTCCACCGCGGTTCTACCGCGGTCGCGGTGGAACCGCGGTCAACACAAGTCTCTGAATCTTCAGGCCTGTTTTGCGTGGTTTACTCGGGAAATTTCACAGTTGGCCTCTTTTTCTTCATTTTTGACTCCAAAAGTACTCCCTAGCCTTCCCTGGTCATATATCACCTGCAAATCATGAAAAGCACTAATAAGAGCATTTTTTTATCACTTTTATCATCAAAACTATACAAGAAGGTGGTTGTTTAAGATGTGATTATAGTTAAATTCACCTATTATCAACACCCCACACTTAAACCTTTGCTCGTCCTCGAGCAAGTTAAACCACACTTCTAGGCCTAACCGTTTGATACATTACCCCAATTTATGTCACACTCGCCATTACGAAGGACCAACCTAAGCAATGCAACAATCATACCTCAGATGCAGACTCTCATGCCATGACACACTCGTGCTCACTCTAGTTACTCTAACAGAAGTGAAGATTTACTTTTTCTTCCTGAGTCACATGCCCTCACATCACAAGTCTAAGAGAAGTTCCCCACACATAAAATTCAAACAATAAGGAACCAAGGATAGAAAGAATTCACTCACTCTCAGCAAAAAACATTCACATGCCACACAGACACACCATAAGCTTGCCCCTAGTGTAATACTCTACTAATCGAGCTGTTCAGTCAAAGATCAAGAGGTCTTCATTTGGTTGTAATGTAGGCTAAGGGACGGGTAGGATATATTTGGATATAGTGACTAACCTCCCTAAGCACTTTTAATACACACTTCCTTTTATTTCAATTTCCATGCTCAACCCAATCGTTCTTCCACGTTTTTGTTTCACGTGTGACCCCCACTTTTCTTTAGGTGCAACTGGCTTTTTTTTTTTGCTTATTTTGTTTTCTTTGTCTCATT